ACACACACACACACACACACACACACACACACACACACACACACTTTCCAGGGCTGTTGTCAGCACTATATAAAAGCATGCAAAACACGTGACACATCTTTCACTTGGTGTTCATCTATTGTAATACAGCAACTTTAAATTTTGAATAACTTTCTTATGTGAGCTTATTCTAACAGTTAAACTAACTTGGAACACAAAAGCAAAGTTATAAATAATGACAGTATTCTCAGGTATTAATACAAATTAAAGGTCTAACTTTTTCTCGTGAGTTTGGTATGAAGAGAAGTTTTGTACTGAAACATATGCAGTTTTCTGTCCGTATTATTAGACAACTCTACCTACAGAGCTCAGAACAACTATAAATAATGATCATGTGGAGCAGGATAAAGATTAACACATAATAAATAATTCATGATACTGACTGCAAAGCTATCGTGAAATGGCTTATTATGAAACAATCTAGGGCAGAACAGGCAGGGAGATAGATGCACAGGAGCACCTTAAGTAATTGCACTGTTTGCAGGTATTACAGTGTGCATGGTAAACATACTACGGTTCCTTTCTACAGCATCCTGCAGACCAGGAGGTACTGAGTATTTTGAGTTTGAATCTGGTACGCTATTTGTGAAAAATTCCTTTTTTGTAATACTTCTACCTGTACACTCATTCCTCCTTGTCCTAAAATTTGTTATTTTTCTTCAGTATGATTTAGGATTCAAAGATTGTCTGTGGGTTGTATTGATAGCGATCATAAATCATGTCTGCAGCTGTTCGTTTATATTGAAAATGGAGAAGAAAGCCAATGTCTGTCTATACTGACTCAAAAGAAGTTAGTAGGATTGTAGTCTAAATAATGAATCGGTTCTACTAACATTAATACATGATTAAGCAGCACCTAATGCAAACCAGCCCATACCAGATATGAACCAAGTTATTGTGCCTTGCATTAAAGTCCTAGGGCACTGGTTCAGATCAGTTAAGAGTTTCTCTTTGTATCATGACACACTTAAACTTGCCATCTGGCCCAACAGCTTATGTGACTCACTGGACCTTAAAGAAGCCTGAGGCTTGAGCCCTGGGAAATCTTTGTTCTACTAGGTGGTATCTTGATTACCAGCCTTGAGTATTCTTCTGTTCTTTGAAAGGAATTGAAGGAAAACTTCCTCACTGGGGAAAATATTACATTGTTGCTAATTTGTCAGAAGAGAGATCACTTACCTGAGGACCAGGCTGACCCTGAAATTGAAAAGAAGAAAAACAGTTATAAAATCTGTGTTTACAATGAATATTTTTACTATCAAAACTTAAACTAGATCTGGAAAATATTTTTAAAATATGTTTCTGAAGATAATAAAATGGGTTGGCAAAATTTACCTTGTGGCTTTAAAAATCATTAAGTCTTAATATTTTTATTCTGTTAAATGAAAATCTTAATATAATGGTCTATTACATATTCAAGTGATTTAGCAGGCTCCAGCATTTAACTGGGGGAAAGGATGTCACAAGGAGCATTACACCTCAAATCAGGGTATTTTAAAAGAATGTATGGAAGAAATCTTGGGAGCATTAAAATACATCTTATCCTCTCAAATAGCCAATAGATTGTGTGAGCTCTGGCCAATTTAGATATTTTTGAATGTTACTTTCTTGTTTAAAATTATGAAAATTTCAAAGCAGCATAACAGTTCTAAAGAAAACCAACTGTGAATAAAAGCACTAATTACACATCACCTTCTTAAAACCTCCAATTGAGCTTTGTGCCTGTTGAGACTAAGGTAGAAGTTCCCACCAAGTTACAGAATCTTCTAAAAAAAAGTAAATAGACCTCTGGGGTAAGATGGTGGGTAGAAGTGGCCTTCATGTGACACGGTTACAGGGGAAGGATAGCAAAGAACGAACTCTATCCCCCAAAGAGGAAAAGTGAAGGACACTGGAAATGACAGAGGGCTGACAGGATGGGGAGAGGGAAGAGAAACAAAGGCTGTCCGAGAGCACAGTCCTGCCTCCCCCCCCCCCCCCCCCACAGAGGGAGGCTGAAGCCTGAATAAAAATCATTCCACGTGACACTGGTGAAGATACTGGCAGTCTTACCCACAAGACATCCCACCCTTCTCACAAGCCTTGAATTGAGTTGGGGGATCTTGTGAGACAATGACTTCAGGTGGGGTTCAGCAGTAGAGAGAGAGTCTACTTTATCACAGCTTGTGTCTCAGAAGACTTCAGCCTAGTGCCATCTTGAGAGGCAATCTGTTGTTAAAGATAAGTCAAGGAGCCTGGAGTCAACTTGACACAGCTTCTAGGTAGAATAGGGCAGTAGGAGGCAGTCACAAAATAGGGGAGGGCTAGGCCCGAATGGGCTCACTTAGTGGTGAAGGATTCTGAGATCCAGGGTCCTTCTCTCTTTGATAATGGCATTGTCTTCTTCGGCAAGGAACTAAATAACTATGATAGCCCAAGATTCAAACTCTGTGCATACTCCCTGAACCTTCTCCTCCCTGTAGGGTGTTTTCTACTGGACAGGATCAGAAAATGCAAGGACAAGCATCACAGTAAGAGAACTTAGGGCTCCACCTGCTTCTCCTCTCACAAAACAACCAAGCACTGGTCCGACCCAGCTGTAAACCCTAACCTCAACAATGAGTGGAACAGCAAACTACCGTTATTGGTGAGGTAGTGGCACTTGGGGTAATCAACAGCTACTGAATAAGGCCTACATAATGGGAGTGAACTCATGTGTGGTACTGTAAACACAGTCAAATACACATGGCTGAGAGGTCATAGATCCTAGAGAAAAAATTTTTTGGTCACACCTCTAGACAAAGGTAACTTCTTACTATATGCTAATTATATATCCTTAAATTTACAGACAGGTATACCAGTCACCATTTATCAAAGAAGCTTCTTTTTGCAACATATGGAGAGTATTACAGAGTTCCACAACTGGTCAAACACAGAGAATTAGAGTCTGTGAGATGCTCAGTCCTAAGTGACACATTTACAATGCAACTTCTACATCTAGGGCTTAGGGGACACAGTCGAACAGAGAGCAGAGAGAATCTTAATGCTTTTCTCAACTCTCACCAGCAAAGCTTCTTCATGCAATAAAGTCACAACTGGCCCAAGTGTAGAGAATAAGAGACTGCAGAGCACTTGTCCCTCGGTAGGACACCTATATCAAATCTCTGCCACCCAGGTCTCAGGGACAACTGTGGAAGAGGGGGCAGAAAGACCGTAACAGTCAGAGGTGATAGACGACCACCAGGAAACAGTTTTCCAGGTGGCTGGGACCTTGCTCATGTGAACTTACAGCAATGGTGACAGCATGCACAAGACCTATGTACATTCAAACCAGACAAAAACCTAGCAAAAAAAATGGGGACATGGGTAAGAAGCCACAGTCTTAGCTGAGGAACTATTGGCAACTGATAACTACTAGGAGAGGAAGAGTTGGTATCTTTAAGGGTGTGACACTAGATAAATTGACCGGGCTCCGGCAGATGGACTCACACTGAGAGGCATATGGGGAGACAAACTTGGCTTGATAGGCCTTAACATTATGATAGGATGCATGAAATCCAGTAGGGGGAGTTGTGGAGTGGTATAGCTAGGGGAGGGGTAAGATGTGCTATATAAAATTCGTAAAAATTCACTAAAAAAGTGGAGCTAGTGGAGGTTAGCATGAGCAAAGTACATTGCCATCTGCGTAGGAAACCCAATAGTCTGCATGCCAATTAAGAAAGTAAAAAGTACAAAAATGAACAACATGTAGTCTCATTATATCAGCTAAGTTACAGGGTACCTTACCCCCAGAATTATCTTCCTAGCTTTTCTCCATTCTTAGAGTTTCTCTAGAAACTTGCTCAAAAACTTATTGGGTAACCAGGTAATTTTCAAGAGCTTTGCCTGAAAATTTGATGCGCTCAGATTTATTTAGTCGGAGGGGAAAGGAGAACCAAATCTATTTCCTGTAAATGTCCCACCACCCGATAGTCTTCAGGAGTGAAGAAAGAGAATAGCATGGATTATATGGATTTTTACTAAGCACGAGGCATTTTTGCACCTAAGTTATTCCATTTACTCCTTAAACTGTCTTAATCTTCAAATGGAGAAATTGAGGCTCAGAGAAATAAGTTAGACATTACAAAGCCTATAGGTTGAAAACCCAGAATTGAACCCCCAAAGTAACCTCAAAGCACAGCATTTCCTCCAGGCCATTCTACCTTCCACTATGTAAATTTAAGCTCACAGATAAATGCAGGGCCTCTGGGATTGAGTCTGGCCAAAAGCTCTCTTCAAGGGAGGAGATACTGTCAACTGTCCTGGGCAGTAGTGTCCACACTTGCTTCTGCAGGCACCCAAGACCATCAGCCCCTCCCCTGTTCATTGAGACCTGCTCAGAAATCAGTTTGGTGAAGTCTTATAATCAGCACTAAACACAAAGTTTTTAGCCAAGAGCCGCCAAAGGCACAGAGTTTTCTCCTGATATGTGCTGTGTATATTTCCAGATTCATGACCTGCGTGTGCAACCTCACTCATTCTCATTCAGGTTCCCTCTCTTTTTCCTCTCTCTTCTTCCCTTCCCCTTCCTCCTTTCTTTCCTTCCCTCTCTTTTCCCTCCCCTTTAAATTTAGGGTCCTTTTACTGTTTAGAGCTAGTGCAAAATCAGAAGCATGAACATGTAGAGTCATGAATGTAGCTCTTACAGTGTTATATGAAAAACCAAAATCTAGGCTTTTCTAAAATTGGAAAAAATCTCAAATAATCTATTTAGCATAGTTACCTAGGCTTTCTGATTTCTATGGTTCGACTAGTAACACTACGTGTTCACCTTAAAATCTGGCCTTTCTGCCATTATACCAAATGACTGGCCTCACATAACATTGATAGATAAAAAGTAGCCTGTGGATGAATCCTGTTGATCAGGAGGAAGCACCAGGACACAGATAAAACTCCATCAGAATAGAGTTTGTGCAAAGATGTATTTTTTTTTTTTAAAGTTGGGCGGTGGGGGGGGCGGGGGGAGTAGAAGAGCGGGACTGTTAAAACCTGTCCTCTTTAGACATCAATGGGGAAGCCTGCTGTGTTGGCCAAACAGTGGAGAAAAGTCTGCTTCTCTTGACTTCAAAAACCAGGGTGCTTATCAGCTTGGTTCCCTTTTCTCAGGAGCTTGAGAAGTCCTTGAGACCCTGTTGGTGAGGGGGCAGGGCTATCTGACCCTTAACAAACATGAGCATGCATGTGGTTATAGACAGACATGCTGTGCTTTGGTTTTCTTACTGCCAGTGAGAACAAAGCTAATAAACGACAGTAAAGTTGGAAAACCTTGACTTCTGGACCTGGAGAGATGATTCTGCAGTTAAGAATACATACTACTCTTGCAGAGGAGCCCCGTTCAGTTCCCGGCACCCACATTGGGCAGGTTATAACCAGTTAAGTCCAGTTCTGATGCCCTCTTTGGCTCTCTGGGCACATGCCCTCATATGTGTATGCATACACATAATTAAAAATAAAACTCATCTTTAAAAGACTTGACTTCTGTATACAGGCATTTGAAAGTATATAGTACTAGGGAACTAGGATCAGTTTAATGTGTGGTATGAGCTTTAGGTCTATGGAGAGGGGTAGGGAAAGGAGGGAGGGAAGGAGGGAGGGAGGGAGGGAGGGAGAAAGGAAAGAAGGAGAGGAGGAAAGAATTGGAGTAAGAGAGAGAGACACAAAGAGAGAGAGACAGAGAGAGAGAGAGACAGAGAGAGAGGGAGGAAAGGATGACTAGGAGAGAAGCTTTCCAGAGAAACAATGCACAGAACACAACAAATGTGGCAGTTCTGCCCTAAGACACAGAATTCTGAACACAAGCCTTACAGACCTTACTTCCGATCCAGGGCCTGCCTGCACTATCCTCTCATTCCATGTGAGATCCAGTCATTATAGGAAAACTATTTGGCCCAAAGAGAGAAGTGAGGTAGAGGAGGTTCCATGGTCCTGGCAATGTCAGTGTCAGTGTCAGTTTATGTCAGAGCAAAAAGACAGCAGGCCAAAGACTCCATGGAGAGTCAGGCCTCCCCTCTGGTCAGGGCACTAGGTGACAACAGCTTTGCCAGAGGCTAGCCAACAAAAGAAACCTTTCAGAATTTCCTAATTGCTTCTGAAGAGTTCACTGAGAGAGAGAAACATCATTCTGTAGTGGATAGTTTTCTAGTGTATTCTAATTTATAAGTGGTGAAGGAATCCTAGTA